TGTAAAACCCTGTCTGCACCGCTGGACTCCATCAGCATATTTATTTATTTCTTTTGGTTCTTTTTATGTCAGGTCAGTCAGAGAGGTTTATCTTATTGGTTGTTTCACACGGCTGAATGTTGCATAAGAGAGGAGAAAAACAAACACTACATAAACATGTTGCATGCAGTGTTTCCAGATTTTTCTCCTCTGGTAGATGATGAAACTAACAATCGGGATTCAGGAGATGCTTTTTAAATGAAGGCCATCTTCCTGTTTTCTATACTGTGAGCCATTAGAGTTCTGTCCTCTTAATTCAGGAGTAAATCTTGTGTCCAAGCTGGACTTCTGCAGTGTGTTCCAAAGCAATCGGTTTGGTTCAATGTAGCTGATGCAAACTGGCACACCGGGGTTGTTGCTGCTTGTTCCCAACGTCGGTTTGATGTTTAAGAACTCTCTGATCCTTTTCATTTAGAATGTTTCAGCTGCCAAGTTCGTACATCAGCAGACTTGTTAGAGGCCTTATGGTGCTTTCCAGTTGTCCTCGGAACTCGTTTTTCCCAGATAAGTTACCCGGAAATTACGCAATGAACTCAGAATTCTGAGCTGCAAGCTCGTAGTTTTCTGCGGACCCTGGGATCCCAAATTTAAAGATGGCTGCACCCAGCGCTACCAGGACGTAGGTATTTTCGGATTTTATGTTCTGCTTTCTTTCTTTTTGCTATTTAACAGCACCGGAAAGTTGTTCATTGTTGTTATCAATAGTTACGTTGTTGAAAAATGTAACACTGGTGTTTATATTTTTACATATTTATTTGTAAGGTTTTTCTGGTTGTATGTGGCAACTGTCGAAGGGCGCATTTCACCATTATTTATATGGGGAGAACACTTGGTTATATCATTCTTTCAGTTTAGTACTCAACAACACTGGTGGCATCCATTTTTTCCAAGTTGGAGGCTGGACCGCAGAACAAGCCCGTTATGTCATTTCCTGCTCAGAAATTCCGAGTTCCGATGACAACTGGAACGCGCCGTTCATTGGCTTGATTGGGAAGAGGGAGTGGGTGAAATGTGTTGGTTGCAATCAGAAACTTCACCACTAGATGTCACTAAAGGCCACACACTAGATGCTTACTGACTCTGATGGTTTTCTCTTGCTAACTTGTTGTTTTGTATTTGTTCGTAAAGTGATAGAATTTTAAAAGTCTGCTTGGAAACCAAAACCACCTAAAAATTAAATGGGAAGCGATTAGAATCCTCACACTGATAAATGAACATGATGCTTCGTTCTGCTCGGCTAGAGGCCAAAACAAGTTGATGAACAATTAGGCTATGTGATTTTGGAAAGGGAATATTGTCCAGAACAATCAGCAAAACTGAACTGCAGTAATAGAGTAATGACTCTGGCCCCGGGCTAAATGGGCTGAGCAGAGTGTTCACACAGGCCTGACCAGGTCTGGGCTCTGTGCACATCTCACAGCCGTAACACGGCCTGACTCAGGTAAAACGGTGCTGGGGCGAACGGCAGAAAAGCACATGTCGGGACTACTCAGAGATTCTTGAGCTTTTTTTCTTCTAACATGAGTGTGAAGAAGCAGTGGCCATAAATTAAACGCCTGCAGGCACACTTATTGGAAAATCCCGAGGGGTAAAATGGAATTACCAGAGATGATCTGTCTCCCCACCCGGTGCACTGGCCCTTTAAAGGGTAAGGTAATAGGTTTTTAGGGGAGGGGGGTGAGGAAAAAGTGTGTGCACACTTGAGGAATGCCGTTACACCCTACAGGTATCGGGGGTGAGAGAGTAGGCTGAATTATCACGGTTGAGGGAGACTTGGGATGAGACCAGTGCACACAGGGTCAGCTGAGGATCCAGCAGAAATCTGACTATTTGAAACATTACAGCTAAATCGTTCCTATTTTTCCCAATTTTCGTGAACGAAGCTCCCAAACTTTTGCAGCCGACTGGCTTTAATTTCATAAGCAAGTCGGTGGGTCGATGTGTGTGTGGGTAGGCCGCAAAAATAAACACACCCTCAAGAATTACACCTCAGCTGCTCTAACAGAGCCTGGCTAAATGTCACCTCCTTCTGAAATCCACACACACACTCCTGCTCCAATCAGGCACCTTAAACACACACTTCCCATCTATAATGTAAACTCCCATAACTGTAGTGTTTTAGGAGCTGGAGTCTGACTGAGGCAGGTGAGGAAAGCAAATATCCCTCTCTTCCTGCATTTGTTATTTGACCTGATGGAGTCGTAGACCGTTGGAAACCAGCAGATCATTCCAGCGACGCAAGCTTCAGACGAGAGGTCAGAACTCAGAGACGGATGAGCCTTCGGCTGTCTTTGCTCCTCTCTGACCGAACTCACCGCCTCGCCTGAAACAGCTCACAGCTATGACCAACTGTTTCTGTCTGCTCCCATTGTCCACTTTTCTCTGCGACCTTATTCTCATTTCAATAACACAGAGATGAGTCAGCAGTCACATCTGATGGCGTCATCCTAGCACACTACTAAAGATCCTGTTTGCGTTGCTTCAGGCTAAAAATACCTTAAAACATTCATATTTATCAGATTTCTACTTAAACTCTTTATTTTTTATCTTAACTCAAGAGTTTTACTAGTATTTCCCTATGTGTGTTATTTGTTAGCCAAAAATATCAAGAACCAATGACCGGACTTTAATGAAACTCTCAAAAAGGTAATAACTTTTGTCAGAGACCACCATCTAGAGGAGGAAAAGTGTACTGCATCTAAGCCCCTCTCTCTACTTCCACGCTTACGGCTGGAAGCAACGCCTTTCGTTCTTGAACGCTCACCCCTACCTGACCAGCCGATCAAAAACAAATTATTTTACAACTATTAATCTCATGTTATGCTGTTTATTTATATTTATACATATTAAAGACTTACTTGTCTGTAAGAAATGTTGCCAGCTCTGCATCAGTCTAGGTATGGTTTTTAAAGAGCAAGTCACCCCAAATCAACATGTTTTTTCTGATAAACTATATAAATACGTGTCCAATCGTGCTACAGGCACGTGTAGTCAATAGTTTTGCATTTTAGTGCATTTTAGTTAAAATGTTAATTTTCTGTCTAAAACTGTCAGTGTTGTGCCGTTGTCAGGTAAAAACTCTGCACTGCATTTGAATTTAAATCTGCCATCGCTATTGGCTAAGAGGTACACAGTGACGTTAGATGGTACATTGTGATGTCACAATGTTGTGAGCCTGTGTGTGTGTGTGTGTGTGTGTGTTAGCGGCTCCGCCCTCTCGGTCTGCCAGGCAACAGCATTTGTTGCATTTTTCAAACAGAAAGCGGGAGTGGAGTAATACTCTGGTAGGGGGTGACTTGCTCTTTAAACGCTGGTGCAGATTCTGTGATTGACATCTGTACACGAGCAGGTGTCTAACGCTATTGGCTGATGCCGAGAGGTGCTCAATGGAAATCGCGTGTGGCTCTGCGGGACGGGTTAGGGGCATGGCTTCAAAGTTGTCGAATTGCTTATATTTCCCAGAACTGGGTACGACTGTCGCTTTTATGGATAAAAAAAATCATACATAATTCATAAAAAGGGAAAACTACTGCTTACATTATTTTTTAAACATTAACAAATGCATTGGTTCAATACTTATATGAAACCGAAAAAGTTTCTCAATAGTTCACCTGCTGATGACAACTTTTTCCTCCTAAGCTGCCAAATAAAATAAAATAAGAAGAATTAGATAATGCATGCAGCAGCGGGCATAAAAAGGAGATTGATAAAATTCAGGATGCTCCTCTGGGAAGCCGCGTTGCCTTTCAGGGGCTCCAGAAGTGATCCGGCTACTGCCTAGATAAGACTCACGGTCGAAACAACCTGATAGACAGGTTCAGCAGCATGGGGGCCCTCGGTTCTATCAAAAGTCACTGCGATCTCTCAGGAACTGGCTGTGCTATTGTCAAGGTCATAGGGAGGGCTCACTGTCTCTGTTTTATTCATGTCGTGAGGAGCTGTCACGGAGATGACCGGTCCTTGAACGGACGCCGGCTCTGCAGCTTCTCCACCTCTGTTCTGGCTCTCGTCTCTATCATTCCACTCCCACGCAGGAGGAACAAGTGTATCGGTAGCAAGCCAGGAGGCCGCCGCACCTGATAAGCAGCTCTCTGTTCTGTGATGAGCTGTTGGAGGTGGCTGTGGGGCAACGTGGCAGACTTCCCTACAGGCAAATCCTGCAATCGCAAGCATCTTTCTTGTTTTTTTCCCCCTTTTGTCCTTGTTGCCTTTCCTCACCATGCAAACAGGAACACTCTCACACACAGAGAAATAACAGAAAAGGGGCCAAAAACAACTTTGGGTCCAATCAAAGCTGAATGCACCTGCAAAGATTTGAAGTAAGGGTGAGGACGTTAGGGTTCTGTGGCATTCCTCTTCTTAACACTACTCATGCATGTAGCTGATGCAGGCACTCACAACAACAAACACGCAGGTGGAAACCAAAGGAGCTGAATACTGGAGTTCAAAAACAAACACCGAGGTGAGTCATGATGACAACCTGTGAAAACGGCTGTTCAGTCTTACGTGTTTTTGTTTGTGGTGTGTGTGTGTGTGTGTGTGTGTGTGTGTGTGTGTGTGTGTGTGTGGTTCTATTGCTCTGGCCCATCGGTGAGTTTAAAAAACATCCCCCAGTCATGGAACATTTTCACTGCTCGTTAAAATGGAAATGTGGTTAAGAATCGCCCTACATGGGGAGGAAAGGGAATGACGAATGTTGACCTTTTGTTTTTGTTTTTTTAAAGTAAAAACTTTTTTTCCTCCAGTTTCAGATACATTCATTTGAGAACATGGGTGGAGGAAGGAATGGCTGCTGGCCCTGTGCTAGGAACCAAAGTCTTCACACACCTGCAGGAGAGAGAAGGGGAAGGGAAAAAAAGTGACACAAATGCGCCCTATGAAAAGAACAGATCGGATCAACAGCTGGTGGGAGTGGAGGGGAAGGCGGGGAGGAGGGGAGGGACGGGGGAGCGAAGGCAAACCTTTTCACCAGGTCCTTGAAATACAAGCTGCAGGAAGCTAGAACATTTTGGTGGACTTCAAACTCTTTGCCTTCAACAATAATTTTCAGGTCTGTAAACTCTTTCGCTCTGCGCTGTTGGTTCAGCTCCTTCAACATCTCTGTAGAACAAGAAAAAGAAACAGACAACGCCACAGTTGGGTTTAGAATATTCTTGCTTTTCATCCAAAACATACAAACACATAGACGTGTGGACATAAATAACAGGAAGTGCAGATTGCAAAACACGTGTTTGATTGCTTTTAAGAAAAATACGAAGCAGTAACGTGCACAGGTTTGAACGGGAACGGGGAGCGTGTGCAGAAACAATCAGAGCGTTTGACAGAAGGAAGAACCGCTAGTGTTTGGGGATAATTACACAGAAATGATACAAAATGAAGAAAGGGTTAAAAGCATCTCAAAGAGATGAGGGCTGGAAACAGAGACACGGTCAATGCATTATTCAGAATGAAGTCAAAAAATCTTTGGCCTCGCATTCAAGCCCTACTCAGCGTCCAGTTGACCTTCAGATGTTATCCCCTAATCCCACCATCCTCGCCTCACACGCTTCCAAAGAAAAGCATCCATCTGCACACACACACACACACGTCTGAAGAAACAACAAATATAAAGCAAAAAAAAAAAAAATAACATGGACGTCACAGCCTGAGAGAGCGTGCTGCTGAAGGCCACGTCGCACGGTGAGTTGTGGCGTAGCGGCGCCGTGTTAAGCCTGTCCTTACTGTAGCGCCAGGTCGGAGGCGCTTGTTTGTCTGCATCTTAATGAGGCACCATGAGGGGATGCTGAGAGTGAAAATCAGCGGGAGGCTGGCAAACTTATTCTGCAGCTCGGGGAGGGAGATCCAACACCGACGCCTGGCTAAGTCTCCCATCGAGAGAACGCCACAAAAAAAGAAAGCGCCGGTGACAACCTGCAGACAAACCCCTCCGAACGTGGAAAATCCTGATTACAGAGGGAGAGACGCCTTCCATACAGTTATCTAGGCATAAGCAGCGCGGCGCACAGAGGCTGCAGCCTGTGAGCCAGCTAAACACTCCCCTGCAACAAAGCAGAATCTGCCAGGAATAAAGGCGCGATCCATTCTGGGGCTGGATGCAGAATATTTCAGATCAAAAAGGTGCCAAATCCTTTTTTTCAGACACTAATCTGCACGTTACCCTTGCAAGTCAAGCTTAAACATGACAATCGGAACAGTGAACGGTATCTCTTTGGTGAGTCAGCTGTAGGTAATGCATGTGCAAAAACAAAGGTGCGTTTATGAACAAGTTTTCAGCTCCAAATGAGCAAAACTGATCACAATGGAGACAAAAAGGAGTTTTTTCTTCTTTTTGTTGTCAGAACAAAGATCTGTGGTCATTCCAGACCCAAAGCTGGGATTTAATTAACCTTTAATGACTCCCATCGTCCTATTTGGCTCGAATAGCCACTCATTTCTCCTGTTGGACAATGAATACAGCAGCTACAATTACACAGAATAAAGACACGTTACAAATATGGTCCAATTCAGAAACACGCTTTGGAAAAACATTTCTTTCATTGGTATCACATTCTGGGGAAAGAAAGGAAAAAAGTGACCTGGTTATTAAACATGCTGAATACTAACGGAGGCAGGAGATAATGAGGGATTTTGACAGAATCTGTCCTGCACTGTGATTGGACGGAAGGCTGCTCAGAAACGCAGGAACGCTGCTCCCGTCTTGTTTTCCATCAGCCGCTCTCCACATTCCAGTTACCACTGTCAGTTTGCCAGCTTTCTGATTACTCTGTGGGCATGGGGAGGAGTGGGGGCGGGGGTGGGGTGCAAAGGGAAAGCTCCGTGGTTTGGAGGCCGCATTAGTACATTTCCCAACCACCGCTATGGCTCTCACCTCCAATCCTCCACACCCCATACCACCAGTTCGCCTCCAAGAAGAGAGAAATTGCCAGATAGTGGTGATGGTGGTGGTGGTGTGGGTGTGGGGGGTGGGGTGGGGGCAGAGAACTCCACTTGTCAGCAAACAATGGCTGCCCTCCCTCGAAGCCGCACGCACACACACACACACACCTGAAAGCATGATGGAAAAGCTAATTATGGCTTCATGGGGGTGTCTAATAACAACTCGTCACCACGGAGGGCCGTGAAACTCCAGGTGGCGTCCCTCTCTTCTCAGGGAGTGAGTGTGGGGGGGGGGTGCAGCCATGCTCAATGGAAGCAAAGCTACTTTCAGACATCTCAATACTCCCAACAGGAAGGAACTCTGTAGGACTGTAAAGCTCTGCAAGACTCAGTCACACCAGCTGGACGATATTCCGAGGTATACAAAGTCCCTCGTAGGGGTTTTGTGCGCCGCTGTGCCGGTCTTGAGTCTGTGGTGCTCAGCAAACACTGATGCCATGTTCTAGCACATTGTCCTGCCCCAGAGCGACTCTCAGTAACAACACCACCCCGTGCTAGCCTTTCATGATTGGCTGATGCAGCACACGGGGGGTATGAACGCCACGCTGGCTCTGCCGTTCAGCCTAGTAACTGTACTCAGAAACCCCGGATCGCTGCGGCCAATGGGGCCTTCGGGTGGGATTTCAGGAAACCTATCAGTGAAAGCCGGGCCTCTCCACTTTATGTTGTTGTCAAACCCTCTACAAAGCAGCGGATTGGCTGTTGTCACAGGACAACTCAGCTCCTGATTGGCTGGTGAACTCAGAGCCATTTTAAGGTTCTTATTTCTTGTACAAAGGTGAATCCACCATCTTGTTTTACAATAAGTCACCCTTGATCTCCTTAAACTCAGATTTTCTGGAGCAGTTGATTTGTTTTTTATAATTTTTTAATCATAGGCATAACTAAAACATTCTGGGTGCAGCTTTGGGTTGTCAAGCCATTATCTAAATATTAGTTTAAATTAATTATCATTAGTTGAAACAAAAATAGGTGCTTTTTAGGAAACTACTGTTTTTTTCTTATGAAAGGTTATGTCAATTTTTTTTCTCTAAAGTGTTTATTGTTGTACAGGTTAGGGTGTGGGTAGGGTTATTATATTAAAATAAAATGACAAGATTTTAGAAATGACCCAAGGTACAGCAAATAAAAGTGGGCGGGACCTCTGTAACCCCTTTGATGTTATTTCTTCTTCCATCTTTTTATAAAAAAAATCTAATCTTTCATCATCGTCAATCGTCCCCACATCGGTGTCATCGTGGATGACCTTCGCCGTTGCTCAGCAGAAAGGACACTGACGTGTTCATTCTGACCTTTTACTTCTCTTTTAAACTTCCAACAATCGATTCCCAGCAGCAATCGCAGCTTAATTACCCAGAACAAACCACACAAGCTGATCAATAATTCAATGTACAACTCCACCATAATGATTGTCTTTAGCTCAGAAAACACAAACAGACCCAGAAATCCTTGTGTTTGGCTTATCGGACAGTCTTGTTGGGCTTTCCATAAAAAATGAAGTCTTTTACTTTATCCCACAAGTGAATGGAGGTTATGCTACAAAGCAAATGTTTTAATAATATCTTTTTTCTGCTCTTGAACAGAAATAAAAGAAATAATTTTGAATACAAAAAAAAAGTAAAAACAAAAACAAACAAAAAAAAATACAGTATTTGTACATATTTCAGCCATAATATATCATATACTGTAAAAGAGAAAAACATCATGGCTGACATAATGAAAAATACAAAACAATCATGTAAAATAAAAATAATAATATCAAATAATAATAATAATAACAACAACAATGACAACAACAACAACAACAACAACAATAATAATAATAATAATAATAATAATAATAATAATAACAATAACAATAATAATAATTTATGAACATTTGGAAAAACCTAAAAAAATCTGGGCTGTAATTTACACAAACCCGAATATAAACACTTAAAAATTATTTTATTTCATTTTTAGCATTTTAAAGGTCATTTATACCATGACTCAAAACAAGAGGAAAAATCTTTTCACCAGGATGGATTTTCCTGCTGATCTAAACAGGTTCCTGATTCAAAGGGCTGCCATACAAAGAGATGTTTGATGAAATCTAATTTCTAAGAACCACAGCGGAGTGAGAACACCAGACAAAGAACACACTTCATAAAAAATAAAAAAATTAAAACCTGACGAATACGACTTTTTTCTCTCTGGGCTATAAAAGCTTCCCCAGTATAATAATAAACTGGTTTCAAATGTCCTTCCTCTGAACACAGCAGAGCTTCTGAAGCAGCACGTGGTAACATCAGGGGTTATAAGGGACCAGCTAATGTGCAGAAATAAACTAAAAAAAACTATTACACTGAATAAGTAATCAGACATCAATAATGGATTTTCCACGTGCAGCGTTTGTCTCAGATGAGAACAGCTATTTATTATTACTGCTGATTTTGATCCAGCTAAGGTCTACATTAAAGGGACAGCCAGAAAAATGATCAATAATCAATATTAGTGTCACTTCAAACAAAATGTTCAAATTTTAATTTCATTAACCTGAAGTTTTTTGTTATTATAACAAGAATAACTGCCTTAAAATTGATTTTAGGGCTCCTACAAAATTTATAATGTACTTATTCCAAAAGTAAGAAAATTATCCATCATAAAAAAATCAAAATAACAACAAAAATACTTTTGGAACACTTTTACATTGTTTTGAAAGCTAAAGAAAAACATTATTTAAAATTAAAAGTAAAAAATTGTTTTAATGTACATGCAAACTTGAATGAATTCATGAAAAAGTGATAAACTGTAAAATGTGTTTCCAATTTGATTTTTTTAACATGTGTAAAAGTTTCTAGCTAAAATATATTTTTCTTGCTAACATAACAAAAAGCTGAAGTTCCTGCTTTTTAGCGTACAATTGTTTTACCTATTTTAATTTAGTTCAAATCATTTTATAATTAAACAAAATTAATTTATTAAACAGGACCAATAAGAAATTAGCAGGAATTTCTTAACTTGTTATTTTTGTATTTAGGAATGCAAAGTTTTAGATTAGAAAATGTTACTAAATCAAATGAATGAAAAATAAATATTTTAAAAAGATGGATGGATGGATATTTATGGATATAAGTAATTTTTTTATGATTTTAGTGAAATCATATTTATGTAATAATAAGAAA